TCAAGCCATGACATTGCAAGAGGTGGCATGACAGGGCAGATCCGAATCCATGGAACTTACTGTGCGTACAACCAGATCGCTACCTTTTCCAAAGTGCAATCAAAGATTTCTCCGGTTCGTTGGTGAGCTGCTTATGCCAACACTTTAGAGGCAAATAAGAGTAATGATTCTGGGGCTGCCTTGGTACGCTTCCCAAACACCAGCCAAGCACTGACGCACGACTGGATTTTCATCTTAAGCAGTTGAGTTCTCCTGAGAGTTGGTGAGTTCCAGCCACCTTTTGGGGGTCGAGGCCAGAGATGATCAGAGAGGCATGAGGCAGAACGGAACGATTGTTCGCCTGAACCCATGATCACATATGATGTATGAACAACCTTTGACAGCCAAGCGTACGTGTCACACCAGGATCAGCAGAGCAACATACGACCAACCTGGTCTTCAACCAACCCTTCCGCCCCCCCCCAACCCAACCTGAACCCGGCACGGGGGCCGCCAGGGATGGTGAACAAGGGCCGCTCGGGCCTCGGGAAGGCGCTCGTCTCCAAAGAGCTACGATCCGTGATCTTGAAGGATTTTCAGAAGGCAGTGCGACAGTTGCAGTACCCCATGACAGTCCTAACCTGAGAACAAACTCTCCCATGGACATCCTAGGAAGGCTTTCTCTTTGTTGGGCACAGACGGGAGGAACGGTAGGATCGGATGTTTTTGCTGCGGTGAAAAAGATGGATGCAGGCCTTTGGGTCGAGCGACTTTCCTCCAGATCGACTTGAGAGCTGGTTTCAGGAGATCACGGGGAAACTCATGCTAATAGAGGACAAGCGGATCAGGTTGACATCAACAACAATCATCAAAGAAATCTGGTCAACAGTCAACAACTTGGCCCAACAAAGGCACGGCATTTGGTCCTGACCATGTGTCTTGCCCACCTCGTCACCGCGAGCTTTCGCGGGCACATGCCCGGCCCGGCCTTCATCAAAATGTGAGGTTTTCCTCACCCTGTCTCTTGCGTTCCTGTTCCTCCCCTGTTATGTCTATTTGCTCGTCCCCTCTCCCCATGATTCACAAATGGAATTCCATGGTGCTGCAAGGCTCGTAAGTTTTATGCCGTTCTGCAAAGCTGATATATAGTAGCGAACCACTGGATCCTGCACTTCGCTTGGGCTTGTGCACCAACAAACACGGGGAAGCTCATCCCTCGAGTCTGTGGTGTGAGACAAAAGACTTAAAGGTCAAGTGGGCCAAGAAGGTGTTGCTTTTGTGTATCTAGTGCGATGGCCTCCACCCTTAGGAGCGATGGCCTTCAACCTACCAGCGACGGCCTCACCAATAATATAGTAGCGATGGCCTCCACCCTAGGAGCGATGGTCAACTGGGCGAAGAAGGTGTTGCTTTTGTGTAGTGCTGAGAAACTGCAAATTCCTTCCAATGCACCTTTGTTCAGGAGTAGTGCTTTGCGGACAATGGCCGACGTGTACGATCTGCAAGCATTGTGCAAAGAGCTGACTTGCTTCAGATTCTTTTTTACACAGTGCTACAGACAACATGTGGGTTAACTTTCGGACTTCGACGATGTTGGCAACAAGAACGTGGTCGTGTGGAAGTATAGCCCAGCCAGTAGTGTCTTTGAGCTGCAAAACATCATTATGGTGGTTCACATCTTGACAACTCCACTCGACGTGTTTTCGCCAGCTGCTAGCTAGCGGTCCTGAGCGCTGTTGCGTCTTTCCTTGATATGCACCTGCCAAAAAAATGGCTGGAGCTGCGGTGCTTTGATCTTCGTGTCATAACAAGGAGTTTAGTTGAGGAATTTGGAGCAGGCTTTCTGAAGTGTGAAGTTCGAGACCCAGAGCTTTTGTCGGCAAGGAAGTGTTTGAATCGCTTAGAGTCGGTTAGAGGTGTTTACCACTGGCAGCGTCCAGTGGTTTTTGACGTGGTCTTAGTTTTCGGCGCTGGATTCGTTTTCCATCCCGCGGCCAAATCGGAGGATGTGCGTACCGTGCGAGTCCACTTACCGTTGGGTCCCAGTGATGTGGCGGCCTGAGAAGCACGGGGCCCTTACCGTCCCCTTTGAACCAAAGACCGAACTCGCATCCTGTTCTTCCCTTGAAAAGTGGAGTGCCAGCAAACTCGCAACACCAAATTGAACGTTGGACATTTGATCGTTGGTTATATAAATGACATGACATGCCGTGTTCCATTTGAAGTGGTGTCTGGTCCTCTTGAGCCAAGACCAAGCCCAAGCAAAACGAAGAATCTCTGAGGAGCACCGCACCATTGGCATTGATGCCTTTTTTCATGACCAAGACTTGAGAGAGCAGCGACTTGGATGATTTCAGTGTCGGGGGAAAACATGAGGCTCACATGTGACCTCATCAGACGATCTTGGAGGGCACGTCCTGCTGTTTTGGTGGCCTGGACGGCGGTTGGCACCGAGTCGGAACCGATCTGAGTTGGCACTGCCGTGCTGCCCTTCCCGTGCTGCGCCGTGCTCTGCCCAACGAACTGCGTGCTGTCTCGTGGGATCGGCAATCCTTCATCAAAAGCCACTGGACGTCTCATGGCCCATGTTAATCAATGCCGGAGTAGTCAGTTTGAGAAGATGTAGTGACATTGACAGTGGTTGGGATTTGTAGTGTTTCTTTTTTGGGATGATGATATTACCATATTACATATTGCCTTGTTACAACCAAAGTCACGGCGTTGTGAGGACAGCTGGTAACGGTAAAGGTCAATGTGAAGTCATAAAGTAAACGAAATCGAACGGAAGAGATTTTCGTGCTGGTATTGTTCTCAATTTCAAGCTATATATACTGTACAAACATTGAACCACCTGTACTTTTGAGGCTTGCCCTTTCCTTCTATGATTACAAAAGCCAGCCGGTAGGCCAGGCTGAAGTTAGTTCCTGCGGCGAAATGAGTCATAGATGGTTATAGAAGTATACGGGGTGTGTGGTGGGAGGTTGGGGGCAGAGCGGACAAAACTTTTGTCGAGTTGTTGATGCAAAAGATACTAACAATGCAGAGATGCTAGCCGCAGCATCAGCATGAGGAAGAGAAAGAGGGATCGACCGCCTAGTATGACAGTTTTGGAAGTCGAACAGTTTCTTGCCACGAGTGGATGGTAGTTTCGTAGGTCAGTGAAGTCCATTCCATTCGTCCGATGGATGGTCGTTTCGCTCCGTGACATCGATCGCATGGCGGAGGCGCTCTATTAAACGGGTTTGGCCGCCCGTTCGTTTGCGATTCGTTGTCGCCAAGGCGAAAGCTTCGCATGTTTTGTGAGGCAAGGCAGAGCCACTTCCAGCTTGAGGGTGAACAGAGAGGGTTGGTGGTTGGAGAACGGTTGGAATCAGATCTGGGCCAAGTTGAAGAAAGGTGAGAGGATTTGATTGGTTGGGTATTGCCGGGTATTGCTGCTTGTTGATGTTTGACGCTGGAGCTATACTAGGAAGGGCCTGTTTTTGTTTAGGGTCAGGTTCGCAAGTAAGACAACACATATAGGTGATCATCTAAAGAAAGCAAGTTTGTGCAAAAAGAACAACTATGTCCACATCCACAAGAGCTGCGCTTTGCCAGGAATCCGGGTAGAGTTCCAGTGAGTCTGGCAGAACCGGGATTCGTTTTTAGAATTTTAAGGTGCTGTCCACGAAGAACAGGGGTCCGCTTGGCAAGGCTTGAACAATTTGCACAGTTGTGGAAAGCACATCAGACATGTGTACTGCATGCGTCCCCAGGGGTCGCATCAACGGCATCAGACACCCGACATTGTGCGAACCCAGCTTTGGACCCCAGGAACTCGATGAATGGTCAGCTTTGGAGGGGGAAAGTGGCACGGATCAATCCTTTGAGCTGCAGAAGGCCATCCTGTTTGCCTTGAGCCGCGGATCCCGAATTCGAGCCCCGCAGCGCGGAGCGCGCAAAGATTTCTCGACGAAATTCGGCGGAGCCGCTATGACCGGCGGAGCTGTGCGCAAGCCACGAGCTATTCACGGCCGCCTTGGTCTCAGGACGTGACTTCAGGTTTGGTAGGTACTACGGTATTACTGTAGATATTAGATATTCATTGGCTTCAGGCAAGACCTTTTTTAAGACCACCCAAAAAGCGTGTGACTCCTCTAGGATTTCACCACCCAACACCATAAAGTTTGAATCATACCCTTCTTGACCTTCTGGTGCCACACTGCCTTCATGATAGTATCCTTTCCATGGTCTTGGCCGCAGCGCATTTCAAAGGCTTCGCCCCTTTCAATTGTTCAAAGATTTTCAGAAGGCATGGTGTCTTCCTTTTCTTTGTGGAGGATCCTGAGCTTGGGTACCGGCCCGATTGTTTTAGAGAGCCGGTGAGCACGTCTACGCTGAGCATCTCGGATCGTGTTTTGTTTCGCTCCTCTCAGGCACTTTGAGCTTCGGGTTTTGCAGTTTCTCCCAGTCTGAAAAACTCTACGGGATCTGACAGATGCTCAGCTGAACACTACTTCCACGCCATGAGATGGCCGCATTCCAGTTTTTAAGCGGGTCGCCTCAGCAGTTCAAGAAGCGATCACCAGCGAACCAGACATCACTGATGTCCGGTGGTGTGGAGGTCTTCAGACAAGGAGGTCTTCCAATACATGCCATGCTTTCGTCGATTTCGGTCACGTCTCGTGCGATCGGCTGACGGGCGCCCGGACTCGACGGAAAACGGGCGATGCCGATCGATCGGCCTCGTGGGCTCGGGGCCGTGAGGGTCTTTGGTGCGGAGGGCGACTGGGACGTGGTCTCGATCGGACGTGGACGGTGTGATCTTTCACTTATCACTGAACCAAGGACACAGGTCGCGAAGTCGTGACGTTCGCAAGATGATTTCGGGGTGCATCCACTGTGTCGTTCGAGTGTAGTTTGGTGAAATGTTTCGGAGAATGCGTGCGCACCTTTTTTCAAGAAATCCATGGTCCGACCCGCAGATCCAATGTTCCCTCAGGGTTTATTCAACTTTGTTTGAAGCAATGATGTGTTAAGGGCCCTCTCAAGGTTCCACAAGTCGTACGAAGCTTTCCACAGGTCCGACTTGAGGTCTCCACCGGTCAAAGAAGGCGCCCTGCTTTGCGCTCTCGGTGCGATGCTCGCAGACGACCAAAGGAACAGAGCTCCGCACAGCTTGGCAGTTCGGTTTGCTGGTTCGTGAGATTCGACCAACTCTGCGGGCTGGCTGAAGACCTCATAGACAGTACACTTCTGCCGTGGCGGCCTTATACTGGAGGTTTTTGTTGCACGTGAATATGTGTGAATATCATCGAATATCATAATGAGGCTACACCTATAGCATCTAGCAGTTTATCCAAAAAGACATACCGTCCAATTTGTAAGTCTTGGTCTTACCGATCCACTTCATTTTTGCTTGCTCCGCCGTGCTCCGCCGTGGCCCAAGCCTTTTGCGGTTTTTCTCACCCGCGGGGGGCACGCTGTGCAGTTTTCGACTGTGAGGCACGAGGGGCGAAAAGGGTTGATATGGGCGATCAGAGGGGTGATATTCCGCAAGACTTTGGCAGAGAAGTGCTTTGGAAACACTAGCGAGAATGATCCAGCCCCGCAGATCTTGTCCCTTCTGAAAGCAAGGCCATCATGATGGCTGAGGAGGAAGGCTGGGTACAATCAACCTGGGACAAAGTCTTGTGAACCTCTACGCATTGATTTGCATGTGTTGGTTGTCAATTATTACGCACTGACCAAGAACATGGCACCATGTTCTTTCCAAACCGCGCTTGCATCTAAACGATCGGAACAACACATCACAACCTTTCATGACTTGTCCCGTCACGCCTCCCTGTTAGTCGAACGTCCTACAACCATGGGCGACGTCGCCCCGAGTGACGTCGCCCGAACCGCCGCGCGGTCCCGCCGCGCGAAGCGCCACGGAGGGGGTCGTCTCGACGACGAGAACCGTCAGCTGCTGAGGGCCGAGGCCGGGACGACGAGTTCCGGCTCGCCTCGTTCGGAGCCTCCGAGGCGGTACCGTCCAGCCGAGGCGTACTTGGGATGTTCCTTTGTACAAGGATGGAACCTACAAACGAAAGGTCCCACTGATCGTTAAGATCGTTACCAATCAGCTTTACTTTGTTTTATGTTACTTTGTATGTTGCGGCACCTTTCAGAGTTTTGCTTCGGAGAGATGTTCCCGTGGATGAACAACGCGACGTGAAGGACTAGCTGATCAGGGAGTGTAGGCTGATTCGACAAAGCCCAGTCTGTCTGGTCGACCCCACGTGCTGTGTTCACTAGGCACTTCATCAGCCACAACGTTCCGGCTTGGCACGGCTGCTGAAGTGTTCGCTGGTCGGAGTCGCTCTGGGCGCTTTATGCCTTCTCATTGGTGCAGCCTCTCAGCTGCATGAAGAGGCAACGAAGCGCCAGTCCATTTACTTGGTTTGCTTTTTCTGAGTACTTTTGGTTTGGACTGGCTTTCTTGCTAGATTCAACAGCATTCAGCTCAATCGCGCTGGCGGATCATGGCATTGCCAGACACAAGCTTGAGACAGCTGGGGGGAGCCCTCCCTTGAGACAGTGAAACACACTTGTAAAGGATCCATGGAATCCATGGTTTTGCATCGTCTTTGGAACCTTTTGAGGCAGCAGCGCCTTGCACCTTCCAGGTAGCTTTGGAAAGGCTCGCACTACGCAGGAGAAATTCCCGACTAGCGTGTCGGCGTGTTGACGGCGAATCCTCAAAGGATTAGACGGACTGAGGGAATTGGTCCATATTGTTGGACCACATAACACCACACAACTCCTGCCTTGCTGGTTCTCAGAGTCCTTGCTCTCTTTGTGGGACCACCAGGACATCCCAGCTCTACGAGAAAAGCCGGAGCAAGGCCAGATGCAGAGTGTTCGGGGTTTGTTGCAGCCTGTACTCGTAGATGGTCGAATATGCATGGATGACAGAAAGCGCTTTGAGCGCTTGAAAGTATTCCCGAAGGTATGGGCAGAGGTGTGGGGAGGGGGCCCGCTGATTTGCAGGTTTTGGGGGCGTTGCTCAGATGCATACCGTTCGTGAGGCAAATTCGTGGGCTCACTTCTCGCGCAGTGACTGGCAGCACTGGCTGTTTAAAAGGCAAACCAAGAAAGTTTTGCCACATTGGTATGCACTACCTGGCTTCACATGCCAAGAATCTCTTTTTTGCGCGAATCTATAGCCAAATTGCTCCGCCGGGGCTGCACTGGCGTTGAAGATGCAGAATGTTCACAAGAGGCTGATGAGATGGGCCATTCGCGCTTCGATTGGCAATCGGGCTGATGCTTTTTCACCATGTCATTGAGGTATGGATGACCGCTGGCATGCCAACCCGAAATCTTCGGGACCTTGATCTCGTGCAGGTGTGAACTTTTGGCGCTGCGCGCCGAGGTCACTGGAGCGGTGATGCTCGTCTTGGCCCTGTCGTTGCGCTGGTGATTGCTTGCGATTGTTGACACTGTTGACCTTGGCGGGTACTGGCGGTTCCTTGCATTCCTTCCAAGCCTAGCTGTACTTGGGAGGGTGATTCTGATAGTTTTGCTTAGCATGTCACCCTCCGGAAAATTAACAGGAGCGAAATGCTGGACCACATAAGAGAGTACATGAAGTTTTGCGAGGCTTTTACCGGAACAAGCGCGAAACAAGTGCGCCTTTCAAGAACAAGCCATCCAAAGAGAACTCATCTTCCACGTGTTGACTGGTCAGCCAAAAACATTCTCGTCAAGTCTGCGCTCCAGTCTGCTTTTACTCACCACCATCATCAGACGAGCCATCATCATCACTCTCACTCTCACTCAAATCGCACACGCAGGCAGGGCATAGGCATAGATCCCTCTTCCTCCAGAAAAAGACCTGCAATATGTTCCGCCCAAAAGAACACTTCGCCATCCCTCCAATGCCAAGAAGGACCACATAGACTAACGCCAACAAAGACAGGTCTGCCATGGCCAACCAAAGGCAAGCCTAACGAAGCCCAACGTGTGGGTAAAGGCCATTGAACTTGCGAACAAAGCGAGCGACGGTAAGGTCCTTGCTTGGTTTTGTCACAGGGTCCTCAGCTTGCTTGCAGACAGGCCTTTCAAGGTGGTTGTTGCTGTTGTTGGATCTTGTAACTTGTTGTATACAGCACAGCTGTTGCAAATAGTGTTGTACATTGTTGTATATGACTTCCCTTAACACTTTTGTTACGCCGTTACGCCAAAAGCTTGGTGAGGGCCTTGGGGAAGGAATCTCACTAGCAGTAGCAAGCTCCAAATGGGATGTGATGAAGCTCCAAAATGACCGTTGAAGCGTAGCAAGAATCCCATTCGGAAGTCGGCCAGTTGATGCATCCGTTCGGGGAACGGATTGGAAAGGCCTCTTTCTCAACGACTTTGCGCATGGTGTGTCACCTGTGAGGTTGTCGCTGGGGAGCAGGCGCGGGCGACCTTGGACCAAATCTCTTCGGAAGAGGCCGGTCTGACAGATCGCATGAAACGAAGAGGCTTAGTTCAGTTCAGTCAGACTTTCCATGAACCCACCACTACCATGGTTGATAGAATTGTATAGAATTGTAGTATACAATGTTAATGATATATATATATATGTAATTGTATACATAATGCTTTGTATGTAAGGTTCTGCTGTTTGGGTGGGCGGGCACCTGAGGATTTGCTTGGTCACAGAACCATTCGTGTGGTTGATGTCTTTCAGTTGTAGATTGCTGGAGAGATATTAGGTGCTGCTAGGTTGAACTTGCATCCGAGAATGCCTGGTTTCACCACCTTTGGGTGTCAAGTTGCGTTTCAAGCAGTTGACTCAGCCCCTTGTGCAGGAGGCCGCTCGTGTAGCAAACCGAACTCTTGAAGAGGTGAGAGCACCGGACGCCCGAACCAACGGTGCTTGTCTCGTGTCGTACAAGACGATGGGTAAGCCGGAAGCGCGAATCCCGCTGAGGCGAACGCAACCGACAGGAAATATACACTTTATGTTCTCTATTTACTTGTCATTATATATGCGAACTGCTTTTTTATTGGTATTTTAGTCTGAATGATGGACAACGATGTATCGCTGGTCACAGAAGCTTACACCTTGCGACTTGGAGCATACAAGAACTGTCTGGTCGGATATTGCACTGGAAATGAAAGAGCCAGGATTTGAACGTCTGAAAGGGTTTGCGGTCCAGCGGCCACCCCCGGGGTGGCTGTTCCAACCTGCAGGCCGGGCGTCGAGCATTGGAATCCTTCGAAAAGCGTATGCGACAGAGGAAGCAGCGGGTCTTGATGGAGGCGCGGCCAGCAAGTCCGGTCCGGTCGAAGGATGGAGGGAATGCAGGTTTTGGCACTGCCCCCTTCGTTCGTTCCACCCATGGCACGGAAGGTTTCGGGTGTTTGCGCCAGTGCCAGTCGATGCTTGCTTTCAGCAAGGTACCGGGGTACTAGTAAAGGATGGTAAAGGGCATTCTTTCAGAATTTTGAGAGCATGTTTATTTCACCAAACATTCAACCATGGGGTCGAGACACAATGGAATCAGAATTCTTGTCTATGTTGTATGGGATCAGTCAGGTAGTGCAGTCCATCGTAGTTTTTGTTTTAGCCCATTTTGCGGGACGATTCTTCACTCCCTTTATTTGGCGGGGTCTTCACGGAGGACACCTCCGGTCGGGACCCTCGTCGTTTGGGCGCCGCGAGCGCCGCGAGCGCCGCGAGCCTCCCGTCTTCCGCGGTGCCAGGAGGCCGCGAAGCTGAAGTCCAAGGTCTCGGCGACGCTGCCGCCGGACCCGGTCACCCGGGATCTGGGCGTGCGGATGCCGAGACAGCGTCGAGCGGTGAGCGTGAGCGGTGAGCGACACGGGAGGGTGGAGCCGGCATGGACCGAAGCGGGTGGACACGGGCAGTTACTGTATTTCGACGAATGGTCTCTGATGATCCACAATGCTAGGCCTTGGGGTCGAGTCGAGTCTGCGGCGCCTTGCTGTCAGATGGAAACCCAATTTGGTTCTCACAGGAGAGCCGTAAACGCTCGGTTTGGCATCACCCAAACTGATGCCTGCTTTCCTGCCAGTACATCTCAAAGAAGTTGCAGCTAGAGAAGAATAAGTTGGACGCCGCTTGGCAGCAGTTGCAGTTTGAAAGCTTGGCAAGGTCTTTCAGGCTTGGAATCTTTCAAGCTTAGACATGTGACATGTATGATATACTGTATTATGATATATGATTCATATATGATGATGTGTAAATGCTCAGAAGATTCAGTGAAGTGACCTGAAGCGTAGGACCATTCCTGTTTGCTTCTTGCTTCGCTTTGTGTGCATGGAAGAAAAGCTTCACTTCAACAACCGTTCCCCAGGATAATTTGGGCATCACATTGAAGAAAAATAGGCCGGATGTGGGGTGGTTGAGGTGGTTATGGGTGGTTGATGTTGGTCTTGCAGCCAAGACATGCTTTCCCACCACTTCTGTATCTTGCACATGGTGAGCCGTGCAGAGCTGTTGAGCAGTGGAGCAGGGCTGTGGTTCAGACCATGCGCCAGGGGTGCGAACCGCGCCTGGGGACCTCCGTGTTGGCCGAATGCGCCAGGCAGAATGTTCTGGTCCGATGCTTGCTTGATGTGCTGGCCTCCGTACAGAACGCCCGGGGGCCCTGGCTAAGAATTGGCCGTCCGCAACGACTTTCTTCCATGCGGAAAATGAGAATTTGAATGCGTCTCATGCCAGAGTCGTTGAACAGAAAGTTGATAGGTTCGGTTCCTGAGTGATGGGAACGACTTCCTCTTGTGATTGAAGGATATTGCAGGTTGTGAGTGGTCGTGAGCATTCCTTTTAACGGGATTTGCTGTGCAGCTTTGTTGGAGAGGTCGCCGTTTTGGGCATCACCATCAAGGGCGAGATCGACACCTGCAAAGCTACAGGTTCCAGCCCGATGATGACCCGCCTGGACATGTTAGACTCTTGGGCCAAAAGACATGGGTGTTGACTTAGACACGGTGTTTAGATGTTGAACATGATGTTTGCTGTTCTATTTGTTTTATGATGATATTGGAATGCATAGGACTGGAAGCTGGAAATCCATGCTGGCCTGAGGAACCTGGTGGCCAAGCCATTGACGGCTGGGAGGAGACGGACAAAGCAAAGCTTGCTTGCTTTCTGAATAGTGCCTTGTCCGTTTGGGAATGTTTGGAGACCAATCGCTTTAGATTTTGGTGTTGAATCCACTTCCTAGGTTCCTACGAACAGGTTTGGTGGATAGATTGTGGGTGAGTGAATGATTTCATGGCGCTGCGCCATCTCAGCGGCCCCAACTGGTGAGCGAGGTTGGTCTTTGGGTGTGACTTTTCGTCTGTTGTTTGGGCCAGCAAGCTGCTGCTGGGGCTTGCTGGGCTGAGTGAGATGGATCACGTATTACAAGTGACCAGCACATTTTCCCCTTGTTATTTCCCCTTGTTACTAGTAGGGATGCCCTTGTTATTAGTAGGGCTCTCTTTTGGTTGATCCTGGTGGCATCGTTTTGAACGATCTGAGGCAATGGTCTGGTCTTTGTCATGTCCAACTTGGCCACCGCCCTGTCCTTTGCTGCAGGCGGTGGTGTGTAAACAGTGTGGTCTTTGCCTTGAATTCCTTAGGAACAGTCGCATCCCTACTACCCGGTTTGGAGGGATACGGCTTAGGAGGGTTGAAACTTGACGCGCACTGTAAACACTGCTGCCTTTTCTAGACCACCACTTCGACCACAAGCATGAGATATTTGTCTTCCCAAGTATCAGCTAGGAAAAGAAGTGGAGTGTGATCAGTTGCTGTGATTCAAGTGTCTCACCGTTTGGTTGGAGTTTTGAGCATTTGGACGACGCAATCGATGTTTGGAGTGTAGAGAGTGTAGAGGTATAGGCTACTGGACATGTCCCTGGGGCCTCTGCCTGTCGGCTTTTGGAACTTTCACTCACCCGATGAGATTATGTGCAAACAGCGCTTGCTATGCATGACATGAACAAAGCTTAGTCTTGGAGACCGTTTTCGCACGTTGGAGGTGATTGCGCTTTTACCATTTTTTTTAATGATACGGCGACCACCGAGATCTACACGGTGCCTCGGCACCAGATGTTCCACCCATTGGTCAGTCCGAAGACTGAGAACCGGTTGGTCAGTCGGTGATGTCAGACCGGTTTCTACTTCTGTGACACTTTTCACACCGTTTGTGGATGTTTCGTCTGCTCCCGACCCGACCCACGGTGAGTGTATCCACCGTTTTTTAATTGTTCTCAAATGCCATGCAGTGGGATTTGATTCTGCAGCGGTCCTGCTCGGGTCGCTCGCCCATCCGCTGCAGAACAACAACAGCGCCTATTTTGATCGCCTTTGTGCCGCTAACATCGCGTCGACCATCAACGTGCGGGCGCCCGGCGATGGGGAGGGAGGGAGGATAGGGAGGACTGGACAAAATGAGTCTCTTTGGTGGGAAGCACGGTGGATTGGAACGGCCACATAGTATTTGCAGCCGGGTCTTGCCTGTATGTATAGGCTGTATAGGACTTCTCAGTCAAACCTCAGCACAGCAGCTGTTCTCACAGCAGCTGTTCTTCAGGTGATATCGCAGTTTGCTTCCGCCGGTGCAATGGTTGGCACGCCTGGGGCCTCTAACCCTGGGCAGCGGTGGAGGCTACAAAATACACATAAATACACAGCACAGCACTTCATAATATCGGATCCCAACAGAGACACCGCTTTATGGTATAAACTTTATGGCCGTATCATAGGAATGAAGCTCATCCAGCTCATCCAGGAGTTTCGAGCATGCATACACAGTCCGAGAAAATGTCTGATCAAATGACCATGGTCTTGAGCTCAGCAGCAGGCTGCAGCTACTGTAATTGATCTATGTATATGGAGGAAGACCAGACACATCACCAGCAAAGGGCAGGTCCGGTCAGATGGCCAGTGGCCAGGGAGGGTCCGTCGGAATGCTCGGGTCGGTTTATCGATGCAAAGCCAACAGATGAGGAAGTAGACCAGACCTGAATCATGGCACGAATTGACGTCCGGTGACTCGAAGTGCGTCCGAATCACCCGGTGACTCGGTGCCGCCTATATTTCGCCGGGACCCCATCCTTGTGCAAAGCAATTCAGCCCTCGACCACTTCGAGCTTCTTCAGCCCCCACCATGTGTTCGTGACATTCCAGCAGACAAGTTCAGAACCAGTTTGATGAGTTCGCTGGGCGTGCTGATCCCAGTCTAAGCAGCCTTCTGCGAAATGCCCAACTTCATGTCCACTTGCAGTACATTACCTTAGGAATCTGTAGGAGGTAGAGGTGAAGTGATCTTTAAGTAGTTATTTAAGTTATTTAAGTATAGATATTGAAGTGATTATTGACGCAAACGAGCAAATGCTCGTTGCTCGAGCTGGCAGCGAAATTATGGCACTCCACTGGTTCTCAGATCCACTACGTCAGGATTTACCATTCCGTGAGTTTGGTGGCCATTTCCGCTGTGATTCACCCCACATTGCAAGGCATGTGATGCATCATGTATGCGAGGACCTTCTGTTGGGTCAGATGCACACTATCAATACTGTACCTTGATAGTCCATACAATCACCCTGATCATGATCATGTGCACTCTGTGGTCAGACTCGTGATGGCAAGGTCGTGCCCCAATGCCAATAGCCCGGTGTTGGCAGCCCCAGCCGGTGATTTGTGAGGTTTGCAGAGTTTCCAATTGCCTCAACGGAGGGGCATGCGGCATCACGGTTCATGCCAGACCATGTTTTTGAGGTCGGCGCCGGCGAGCACCTTTGGCACGGGTGAAGATGACACATTTCAGGAGACATTGAAGAACATGGAGTCAGCGACTTTCGCTGTGCAAAAATCGTAGTCCTGAAGTGATGTCTTCATGCTAGTGCTCAATGTTGTTGCTTGAATGCACTGTGCCACTGCCAACAATGCTCTGCAAGTTGTATTGTGCCTACAAATCCCAAGAACATGAACCAGGATGGATGGGTTGCACCTTTGGATGCATTTGACATCCCAAGCGAAGTAAGATCCACCACACAGAGTCGGATTGAACATGTTCAATGTATGTCAAAATCACCTTGTGTAGCAAAGACCCTTAAGGCCTTAAGGCATCAAAAAAAGATTGCCTTTCACACCGATTTCACAGTCCTTTGTGTCCTTTGCCAGGACTCGAACGCCGCCTTTGACGACGTGGCCTACGACGCTGGTAGCCCACGGCGCTTGCAGGGAGCCGCCGGGGGCGGGCAGCCGACTCTGGGAACTGGTAGCTCAGGCGCGAGGATGCCGGCACCGCATGTCTGCAGGTCTCACGGATGGACCCCTGATCTCTGCAGTTCGTTGCTCCCGAACTGGGTCGAATGGACGCCCACTAGAAAAACATCATGCGACCCGCTGCGTTGCAGAGACTTCCCCGACAGGCAATGACCTCGCCTGCCTTCTGGATGCTCAAGGAGTCGCGAAGCTCAGCGGGCGAAGGTTTCCTGTGAAGGGCCCCGCTGAGCGGATGGAGACTTTCGAGAGGTAACAAGAAGCTAGTAGAAACAAGTGCATCGCTAGTAGTAACAAGTGCCTTACTAGTAGTAACAAGAAGCTATTAGTTAATTTAAGTTTTTTTATTTGCTTTGCCCCTTCTTTCGCATCAGTACCAGTTGGCGTAAGCAGAGAAGTTGGCTTTTTTCGCGGCTGGGACTCTAGCAGGAAGGCCTCACCAAACACAATTGTATAAACTGAGACTTTAGTATTAAGAAAAAAGGGATCCCGTGTCCCAAGCTGGTTCAAATCTTCATTGATCCCGGGGTGTTGTGAAAGTTTTACGCTTCTTGTCCAAGTGTGTCAGGGCAGCAAGTCTTAGACTTGGTAGTCACATTCTTCTTGCTTGCCTTTAGTTGTTTCATGTCGTTTCACTCTTCCGGGTACTTTTTTTTGCATAGAGGTCTATGGTTTTCTGGTTCTTTTTTCTCTGGACTTTCAGAACTTTGTCTTGCAGAACTTGTGACCCACTACCCTTGTCTTTTCTGAAGTTCATTGAAGGACTGGTTTTCGCGATGTAAATCCCTTGACCTGCTGAGAGCATTGGAACACGTTCTTCTCGCTCTTTCAGTTGAGGTGATGTTCAGCATCATGCAGATTGGCGTAGAGTGGGACTATGCACAAAGGCTGAATTGCGAGACTGGCCACTTGACCGGAGACCGGGGACGTATGCCTCTTGACCGGCATATGTTCGCTGGTCACGCCCAGGTGACTATGCGAATGGCCCAACAACGGAGACGCAAGTGATTGCCGAGAAGAAGACCAGGGTGGGAGGGAGAGGAAGGGAGTGCAGCAGGAAACACACAATAAGCGAATATGTTACTACCGTAGGTGTAGGGTATTCAATGACCGTGTAATGATTCCCTCCTGAAGCAATCAAAGGGTAGCCAGAGGGCAATTTGGCAAGATGGATCCAGCTGCATGATCAGCCAGAGTCCGTTTAAGAGAGAGAAAGCTCCACAGCCAGGTGAGCTCTGCATTGTGCTCTGCCAACGTGGGTGGCGTGATCCAAGGGTCCCTCCGCCTGAATGTCGATTTTTGGCCCAGGTGACAACCCTGCAGGGTTGGACGGTTAGAGGGATTAGCAATGATTAATGTATTGATGGGCTGCTTGGAGAAACGCGGTCCTTGAGTTTGACGCGTCGACTGGTTGACCTTCACGCGTTGCTCCAACAGCTGTGCCAAAGAGTTTTGAATACACAGCTGCGCAGTTGACCCACAAGGTTCGTCAACATCATCACGGTCGGGCAGATCATGGTCATGCGCCCTCCTCAGCAGCAAGATCACTTCGAAGCGTCAGCGCTTGCTTTGGAAATAGAACATGTGCCGAGAACACACACTTCGAACTTGGGTTTTCAGTTAGACTCAATTGCCACGATGGGAAGTAAGGTGAGGGAACGGAAAGGTGCATAGGTCGGCAAAACAGTATGGTTTAAAAATGGTTTCAAAAAGGCCTCGAAGTCGATCTGTACATTCGGTGCGGTGACGAGCGCAGCTGCAGGAAAGTGGGTTTAGGGGAGGAAACGTGAAGGACCATGGAAACAAACCGATCAAAGTGGACAGCTTGTTCAAAAGTTCA